TTTACAATAGTGATTTGAGTTAACGTAAAATTACCGCGGCGCTTTCAGATTTTCAGCAAACGTAGCTACGCTTAACATAAATTTAAGATTGCTCACCTCTAAACTGAAACCGAGTTGCTACTTTAAAATCAAAACTACCATGATGAGTGGCTATATCTTATAATTCTATCAGAAATTTAGAAATAGAAACAACATCAACTTTTAAAAGAAAGGCACCAAGAATTATCACTTGATTTTGCCTGTCACAAATAATTTGAAATTCAAAACAGGTTATCAACATGTGTTACGAGGAACACAGAAAGATTGACATTCGCATTTCATGTAGAGAGGGGGATATTTGGAGATGAACAATTATCGAGGGAGATATCATATAAATTGCTTTTAATGTAGAGCGGTGGAGATTTGGAGATGAACAAATATCCAGGGAGATATTATATTAATTGCATTTTAATGTAGAGAGGGGGAGGTTTGGAGATGAACAATTATCGAGGGAGATATATTGATTGTTTTTTATGTAGAGAGGGGGATATTCGGATTTGAACAATTATAGTGGGAGATATTATATTAATTACTTTTAATGTAGAGAGGGGGAGATTTGGAGATGAACAATTATCGAGAGAGATATTATATTAATTGTTTTTTTATGTACAGAGGGGGATATTTGGAGATGAACAATTATCGAGGGAAATATTATTTTAATTACTTTAATGTAGAGAGGGGGATATTTGGAGATGAACAATTATCGTGGGAGATATTATATTCGCATTTCATGTAGAGAGGGGGATATTTGGAGATGAACAATTATCGAGTGAGATATTATATTAATTGCATTTTAATGTAGAGAGGGGGAGATTTGGAGATGAACAATTATCGAGGGAGATTTATTTATGGCTTTTTTATGTAGAGAGGGGGATATTCGGATTTGAACAATTGTCGTGGGAGATATTATACTAATTGCTTTTAATGTAGAGAGGGGGAGATTTGGAGATGAACAATTATCGAGTGAGGTATTATATTAATTGCATTTTAATGTAGAGAGGGGGAATTTGGAGATGAAAAATTATCGAGAGAGATATTATATTAATTGTTTTTTTAAGTACAGAGGGGGATATTTGGAGATGAACAATTATCGAGAGAGATATTATATTAATTGTTTTTTTATGTACAGAGGGGGATATTTGGAGATGAACAATTATCGAGGCAGATATATTTATTGCTTTTTTATGTAGAGAGGGGGATATTCGGATTTGAACAATTATCGTGGGAGATATTATATTAATTACTTTTATTGTAGAGAGGGGGATATTTGGAGACGAACAATTATCGAGGGAGATATTATATTAATTACTTTTATTGTAGAGAGGGGGATATTTGGAGACGAACAATTATCGAGGGAGATAGTATATTAATTGCATTTTAATGTAGAGAGGGGGATATTTTGAGATGAACAATTATCGAGGGAGATATTATATTAATTACTTTTATTGTAGAGAGGGGGATATTTGGAGACGAACAATTATCGAGGGAGATATTATATTAATTACTTTTAATGTAGAGAGGGGGAGAATTGGAGATGAACAATTATCGAGAGAGATATTATATTAATTGCTTTTAATGTAGAGAGGGGGAGAATTGGAGATGAACAATTATCGAGGGAGATTTATTTATGGCTTTTTTATGTAGAGAGGGGGGTATTCGGATTTGAACAATTATCGAGGAAGATATTATTTTAATTGCTTTTAATGTAGAGAGGGGGATATTTGGAGACGAACAATTATCGAGGGAGATAGTATATTAATTGCATTTTAATGTAGAGAGGGGGTATTTGGAGATGAAAAATTATCGAGAGAGATATTATATTAATTGCTTTTAATGTAGAGAGGGGGATATTTGGAGACGAACAATTATCGAGGGAGATAGTATATTAATTGCATTTTAATGAAGAGAGGGGGGTATTTGGAAATGAACAATTATCGAGGGAGGGATTATATTCGCATTTCATATCGAGAGGGGGATATTTGGAAATGAACAATTATCGAGGGAGATATTATAGTAATTGCATTTTAATGAAGAGAGGGGGGTATTTGGAAATGAACAATTATCGAGGGAGGGATTATATTCGCATTTCAGGTAGAGAGGGGGATATTTGGAGATGAACAATTATCGAGGGAGATATTATAGTAATTGCATTTTAATGTAGAGAGGGGGATATTTGGAAATGAACAATTATCGAGGGAGATATTATATTCGCATTTCATATAGAGAGGGGGATATTTGGAGATGAACAATTATCGAGTGAGATATTATATTCGCATTTCATGTAGAGGGGGGGGGGATATTTGGAGATGAACAATTATCGAGGGAGATATTATATTCGCATTTCATATAGAGAGGGGGATATTTGGAGATGAACAATTATCGAGTGAGATATGATATCAATTGCTTTTAATGTAGAGAGGGGGAGATTTGGAGATGAACAATTATCGAGGGAGATATGATATTAATTGCTTTTTATCTAGAGAGGGGGATATTTTAGGACGAAATATTATCGAGGGAGAGACGATGACGGGCCAAGAATTTTAAAAAGTGAAAGCTATAACACGGATGTAAGGAACATGAAGATGGAAGAACACATTCAATAAACCGCTGGTGTGAAATAAGTACTTTTTGACACTTTGAGCCGTACAGATAATCCCACGTAAACAGACCAACGCACTAAAGCCGGACATCGTCCCGACAACCTCCCCGAACAAAGACCGGTATGCGGATTTTTATAGACCATAAAACGCTATCACTGTCCTCCTGAAAAAAATCCCAGTGCATGTCAAGGCTCACGTTCTGTCCGTGCGCGTTGAAGAGACTGTTAAGGTAAAGCGTCATCAAAAATTTAGGTCTATATTGTTGTGCTTTTTGTTAAATGGATTTTATTTTCGTTCATTTCTAAGATGCCTTTTCAAATATATTTAATGTTTCGACAGTATTTTCGTGAAAGGACTTGAACCAAGCCATTCTCTGTCTACCGTTTTATTTTGTTAAGAAAGCATTGTAAGTAAATGTATTGTTTTACGTTCCTTTATTCCGAGACTAGTTCATTTAAGATGATTTATATAGAACTGATTTGTGTCCATCCTAAACAAGCGTACTAGCTGTGGAAAGACACCGTATATCTAGTACCGAAGATTATTTCGTTTTAAAACAATTGAAGATTAATTAACTACATCTCCTCGCTATAAAGCGTATGTTTATATCACCACTATTGGAGAAGGCGACTTTAATAAAGTTTTTTTAACTTGTGTCTAATCCCTTTTGTATTTTGCAAATAAAATATGTTTAAACAAAAAAACCGTAATAAAGTTCTGCTAATAGGTTATATGTACATACATGGATATACCTTAATATTTTATTATGAGGGGGGCGTTGACCCATTTACCGATAAAAATTTAAATCTTATATACTTTTTATTATGTATTGAATGGAGTGCTTAAAAGTCTAATTATTGAAAACCGTCAAACCATTTAAAAAACGTAAATGATCTTAATGACATGTTTAACTTTACATCAAAGGTACTTCTAAAACTATTGTTTTCATCAACAACGACTATCAAATTGACTTAATTAGAATTTACTGAAAGTTTCTTGAGCCGATGATATACATACTATATTAGGTAGAAAACATGGTTAAATCGATACTGCTATGGCAACGTTTAATAAAATGAATATTAATGAACATTCAAATCAATTCATACATCAATGTAGCTAAACGCACAAACTAGGCATATCATGATTTTGTATAGAGCCTTCAGTAAAACTCTTTCTAAATTTGACATCACCTCTTAACCGACATTTTTTTATCAGTAGGAATGTGTCATCAGATACACGGTTCTTTGAAAAATGTGTAATGCTAATGTTGTTAAAATAATCTGTACAGGGAAACAAATCGCCTTTAACATGTTTCATACGTTAATTATGTCTATACCTTTGATGTGCTGTTCATTCAGGGTGCATTCATCACAGGGTTTCAAGTTGAACTGTTATACGCGAAAGGGACGAATTACGACCTGTGACGATATTTATCAATATAAAAATACATTTTCTGAACTATAACTCAGTACTGTATATCAAACCTACGATCTAAGCGCCGATTGCTATTTATCAATATGTAAATTAATAATCATTAACTAAAAGAAGAAAAAGAAACCGTTCCAAGATATAATTGCATGTTGCATTATACATAGATTTAAATCTATTGTATAATTCATTTTTTTATATTTTACTTTTTTACAAAATGTCAACCAAACATTAATGGAGAAGACCTCACCTGTTTCATGCTTAATCCAAAAGTCAGTAATCCATTAAATTAGTATTGTCCTTTATTCCACATTCTCAGCTAATCTACTCCTTAAGATATACATGTAGCAAATCCACACACCTGAGAGGATATTTAAACTCCAATTTCTCACGATCCCATGTATCACCGAACATTTTGTAAAATGCTTCTTTTGAGAAACTTTTTGAGATGAATATATACAATTGTATTTTTTTTATAAATACATAATCGTGTGCAATGCGACGTTTAACAAACTATTTTTAAACTTTTAGTTGATTTAACATTTAGTATTACTACGTCTACGTATTAAATATAATATAGAACTTAATTAAATAACAGAAAACACAAGCGTGTATGGATCTCATATCCTACATCAATACAGAGAACTCACCTCCGAATGACAGTAAAATGATTTGTATAGTATACTACCCCTTACTGGACGAATTGCGGGAATTTGGAAAGTTAAATTTTACCAGTGGTGAATTTCACTAGGCAGATAATTAGTTGGGCAAGCACATGAGAGGAATTGAACATAGCTACCGTCACACGGTATAGAAAAGTTTGCCGGGTAACGGTCCCACAATAGCTAGCTTAGTGTTAATCTGAACCAAATATGCCGGTTGGTTTCTGGGATACAAGTCGGTATGGAATTAACAAAAAATACAGCTACTCACCTGTCGGTGGGATGTCCCCCATGGCAGTGAACTGATCCATGTGGTCTGAATAAAACCTCCGTCGACTAGTAAACGGTGCGCACTCGACCAAACTTAATTAAAACTCAAAAATTGTATCTGTCAACCTAGTCCGGATCACTCCGTCACCGGCTTTGGGTTCAATAGGACTATTTTAGAATACTACTCAACATCAATTTTCATACCGACGATTATACAATTAAGATGATCGTATGGTGTAGATGTACATAAAAATAGTTTTTATGACTCGTATCACGTGATCATTTGGTCAGACCTTTTAAATATGCATGAAGAGGGGAGTTGATGGTCTTGAGAACTCCAAACATGCTAGTGTCTCTTTTATCATGCAGTAAGAGAGATTTTGATTGGACAAGAAAAGGCTGCCGATGTTGATAATGGACGCTCTAGGGTATAACTGGATATGTTATCGCTATAAATACTATAGGAGTATGATAGAATATCTATGACTGGTATTTGTCCGAGATTTTTTACGAGATTTCAAATGTGAGCTGTATTAGTTGTTTACTGCAAACATTACACAAATATGTAAGTTTTATAATGTCTTTGAAGTAGCATCATCGATGTGGATGACAAATTATAAGACAAGATTGCGTCGCAGGTAGCATTACTTCACAAGAGTAGTTAAACAGATTAAGGAAAGATTTTATAAACACATAGCTGATATAATCGTTTACGCGTTCAGACAATGGAGTTTGAATATTTGACAAAACTATACCATTGTAATAGTTTTCTAATAAATATCCTTACTAGACCACTTTCTTATTAGTTTTGACTTAAAAAAAAATCACTTAATCTTTATTTCATTTACACATTTTCATAAATAAATAAAAACCTATACCATACTCATAAAACATGTTTCTTACACGCATACCGCAATTCTTATGATCTTACTAAAATTCTTTCTTGTATGAACAAGATTCATTATATTTATCTTCATAAAGGAAATTAAATTGTGCGTACGGATCAAGTGCATACGGAAACAGAAAGCCGACATAAAGAAGAGAAAACACTACAAATATCTTTAGAATTATAAACACTTCAAACGCCTTTAGAATTATAAATACTAAAAGTGTCTTTAGAATTATAAACACTATAAATAATTTATAAATGTCTTTAGAATTATAAACACTATAAATAATTTATAAATGTCTTTAGAATTATAAACACTATAAATGTTTTATAAATGTCTTTAGAATTATAAACACTATAAATATCTTAAGAAATATAAACACTATAAATGTCTTTAGAATTATAAACACTACAAACGTCTTAAGCATTATAAACACTACAAACGTCTTAAGCATTATAAACACTATAAATGTCTTTAGAATCATAAACACTATAAATATTTTATAAATGTCTTTAGAATTATAAACACTATAAATATCTTTAGAAATATAAACACTATAAATGTCTTTAGAATTATAAACACTACAAACGTCTTAAGCATTATAAACACTACAAACGTCTTAAGCATTATAAACACTATAAATGTCTTTAGAATTATAAAGGATTAACGTTGCAGACAGACAGTTTGCTACTTAACGAGAAGATATCATGGATACATTGTGTATTGCATGATTGTAAAAATAAATATCAACACCAGCTTTAAATTAAGATTTAAATTTTCTACATATATATTCCGTCTTTTCGTATTGCAGAGTTATCTGCTCTTGATAGCAGGTATTGATTGTTACGTCATTTGTTTGTGAGAGTAACGTCCTCATTTTTGAGAAAACGACGTAATTTTCTCACTCAAACTAATGACGTAACAATCAATACCTGCTCACAAGAGCAAATAACTCTGCAATAAACGAAACACGGAATAAGAATGTGCTCTATGATTTTGCTATAAATATGTATACATCAATATATCTTCAAGAACTGGTGCAACAGTGTGTCATCAAACATGATATGTTTCGCGCAACTATAAACTAAATCAAAAAGGATGGTTAGCTTAAAAGCGTTGTTTGTTTGTATTTTTCGTTTGTTTGTTTGTGGTTTTCCATTTCAAAACAAATATGAGTAACAAGATTATACTAGTTTGCATCTGCATACAGAAAGTCCTAAAAGCAAACTATGCAAGAATGCAAACAATTAAAAGTATTGAAGTGATCGCTCCAAAAATATATTTAAAAACTAATTAATGGCCCTTTTAGTTTAACATTTACATTATAGTAAACCAAAATAATTAATTGGAAGGCAAAACATTTTAAAAATTGAAATCAAACAATTTGAACCAATATATTATATCTTTAAAGCAAACGAATTAGTGAAAATATTAAATGATAATTATACTATGCAAATTAAAACAAAACCTTGTTTCTTACTGATTACAAGAGAAAGGAAACAGTCTATACGTTGTAGAAATAGCTATGAAAGGAACACTTACAGAACACACTATTCAAATGTATTTTTTTCAAAAGGATTTACGAATAATAGGCTAAGATTGTGACAACTTTAAAGATTTCGATCCACCGTGAAGACGTACTCGACTTTACACCTCCTCGGTGAAAATAGCAATACGGATTATATCTCATCGGTTAAATATACAATACCAGAGACGCCCCTAGCTCTCCCTCTGTCATCAATAGCCACTTTATCACCGGATTATGGAAATAAACATCGGCGCTTTTCATAAAATTTGAATAACGTCGTTACATTCCTTCAAACTCTTACCCCGTGTTGTCGTAGTAGGACCGTAGGGAGACCGGCGTTGGAAATGCACCAATGTTCATACCTAATGCAATACCAACAGTTAACCTATTTAAAGTTTACCATGAAATGCATCTTCATTGTTCACTGTTTTGATTATGGAGATGAATTGATTAGTTAAGATAATTAAACAACACGTTTTACGATAAATAAATATTAACTATAATTTACTAAGAAATAGGTTGATGTCACAAACTATAATATTTACCACTGTACGGTGATGCCACTTTATTGGATGGCATTTATGGAGACTATAACGGCCATGGTGCTTGTGTTGACGTCATCATTTTTCATTCAGCAAATAACTGATTGGTTTGGTTTGGTTTAGTATTGTTTAACGTCCTATCAACAGCTATGGTCATATTAAACCAAATGCAGAATTTAAAAAAGACGTATTTTAATTTCTGTGATATAAACAATAAACTGTATTGATTTGGCATTTATAGTCCATATATCACAGCTTTGCAGACAAACCAATCATTACGAGCTAGTGCACATTTTGTATGCTTGCATTCAAGGTGTGTCATTCACATTGACTGTAAATGCTACAAATCAACAGAGTTCAATTCTTCAATACAAAATGTATCATAAATATAAACCTACACAGGATAATACGTCCTCACGTTATGTGTTGAAATTTCATATGTAATCAAAGTGCTAATATTTTGAGAAAATTGTCCACAACGATTAGGACAAAGGATATTTCACATTTGTGCCTCAACAATGACATCGTAACATGTGTTTTTTGTACATGAAAGTGACAAATCCATGGCAAAATTGCATGCATTTCAAATATAGACTGGTGAGCTGTAATTGTTACACATAACATTACTATGTAAGCATGTATATTATATATGCGTTTAACTAATAAATCTATGTTATNCCCACACCCCTGATAATAATTGAAATATAAATGTGTGTATTCAGTAAGAAATAATTCTCCCTCCCCATTAATACAACTCTAGTGCCTGAAATACTGGTGTTTGAAGTGAGGCTTACATACTGTAATTCATCGGTTTGCTTCGTTACGTTACGTTGAGGATGATACAGTTTCATAATTTCGCAGTATTCTTTTTCTAAACTCTAAATATGCAAATCTACATCTATGATTCTTTTTTCCTAATATTTATATTTTTTTATGTATAGTATTAGGAGGGCTTGTTCTTTACATCGACATGCCATTTGTTTGTCAATAGAACAGAAAGTAAGTTTCAATTACATATCTGGTGAATCTTACATTAGTGATGTAGCCAGTTCTATTACATTTGTATATACACGGTGACTTTTGCTGTAGTGATACAGCTAATTTTCAATACAAGGATATAAGCCTCCTGAAATATATCCATACGTACAAGGTGAACATATTATATATGCATGGTATTGGCGTTTATATATCCTACGTGTTGATTTTTATTTCTCATTAACATTAAAGCCTGAGTATATACTTCCACAGATTTTGTCCTAATTTTTGTTTTTGTATATTTTAGTCTTCCGTTCTGTAAGTCTTGGAGATTTCATAAAGACGTTTTATAGAAACATGTTGACGTTAACATCATACTCCCAGTTAAGTAGGATGCGTATTTCCGTTGATTGTTCAGTCTTTTACGGTAGTAACATTGCCAGTTCTTGTGTTGAATCTGTCCAGATACATATTCACTGCAATTACAAGATAACATATAATTTGTCATCTATGGTATCTTTCTAGGGCGAGTAGAATGATCAAACATTGTCAACTACCAGAAGACAAACACACTACTCAAAGTGTCATAATCAATAAGCCCTTAGCTTGTTTTCCACGTCCTCGTAAAGTCACATGTACGGCAGAAACATTTTGGTTTAGTGAATAAACAACTGTTTAAATGAAACGAACAACAATAGTATGTAGAGGACTGTTAATGATACACATCCATGCAGGGGTACGCTCATCCTTTCTGTTCTTTTTGCAAATTCAAAACAAATTCACAATTAAATACGCATTTTCCAGTACTCTTTATTCTGTTAGTTCTGAACACCAGCATATAAAAAATACAATTAATTCTGTCTCATGTCGCCTCCCTATTAATTACGAATGGCGATCAATGTAAAGGGCATAGTTCCAACCTCGGATTAGTAATCGGATAACCCTCACGCGCGTCCCACACATCGGCATAACGCGTGCGTGACGGACGCACTTTTAAAGTATGAATTTTAAAGAGTAGAGATTATAAGAAATAAGAACAATTGAATGTCCGAATGTCCATGGCAGGCACAAGTAAGGAAGGCACTCGGACTTGAGGGTCATACATA